CAGTGCCACGTCAGCAACAGTGCCACGTCAGCAGTGCCACGTCAGCAGTGCCACGTCAGCAGTGCCACGTCAGCAACAGTGCCACATCAGCAGTGCCACATCAGCAACAGTGCCACGTCAGCAGTGCCACGTCAGCAACAGTGCCACGTCAGCAGTGCCACGTCAGCAGTGCCACATCAGCAGTGCCACGTCAGCAGTGCCACGTCAGCAACAGTGCCATGTCAGCAGTGCCATGTCAGCAGTGCCACGCCAGCAACAATGCCACGTCAGCAGTGCCACGTCAGCAGTGCCATGTCACAGTGCCACGTCAGCAGTGTCCCGCCACCATGACGGGCGCAGCTCTGGGCATGCCAGGCCAACTGGCCAACGAGTCTATTGCCGACTACAAACAGCGGTTCCAGACTCAGCTCGCAATGATCGAGGCTGAGGAACAGCGCCAGCTGGCAGCCGAGGCTGCCCGCCTACAGGCTGAAGCAGCGGCAACAGCTGAGAAGCAGCGGCTACAGGCCGAAGCAAACGCAGATACCTAGGCACGCCGCAAGGAGGCCCAGGATCTGCTGCAGCGGCATGAAGCCGCCAGCATCGAAAGACTCAAGTTCTGGCACTTTCAACCGTCCAACGGTGACGACGCAACACCGGAGGAGCAGCACAAGGAGTTCATGGCGAAACTCATGACCAGGCTGGTTTACACATGTAACCACCTGCAGTCCGAGCTGGCGAACCTCTAGCGGGCCGTGCGGAACCATAAGTCTCAGCACGAGGATGCCACACGGGCACTTGACGCCCGTGTACAGGACTTGGAACAAGTTCCACCAAGACCGGAGGCTGGTGAATCCAGCAGTGCACCATCTGCCCGCCAACTGGAGGAACGCGTTGACCACGTAGTGGCAATGCTAGGAGACATCAGTGCCTTCGTAGAGCCGGCCACCATCAGCCAGCGGTTCGATGTGCTGGACACCAAGATCAGTCAGCAACAGCAGACTGACCACAGCAACAACAACAGCTCGTCGAGGCCTTACAAGATGCCGACGTTCCGGATCGAGAAATTTGATGACTACACACATCAAGACACGATCGTCTGGTGGCAAGGATTTACAACGGAGTTGGGGATTCACGAGGTCCCCGACCATTTGTTCATCAACACCAAGGGAGGATGTCAGATATGGCTCAACCACATGGCAACCATCCACGGCGTCCAGGTTTCAGACCTGCACAAGACGGTCTCCTGGGAGGATATGACAAAGGAATGGAAGAAGCGGTTCATCGTCGACGACGCCCCGACACTCGCCATCAACCGCATCTTCACGATGGCTCAAGGGAGCACACCGACACGTGATTGGCTCACGGATTGGCAGAAGATCGTGGCCACGCCCGATCTGGACTTGCCATTTTCGCATCTGCGCCGTGAGTTTTTCAACAGGTCATGCGCCGCTCTCATCCTCGCACTTGGTGATCGCGAGCAGTACAACACTTTCGCAGAGATCATCAACAAGTCGAGAGAGATCATCAAGACCAACAGGCCGGCTGCACACGAGAAGTCAACATGGCAGCCGACCTATGTGGAGAAGGTAAAGACTGGTCCGCGGCCGCAGCATGTCGCTGCAGTCCATTCGGACAGTGGAGAAGACCCGGCAGCCGCCCAAGCATCACATGAGGGAGATCAGGTGGATGTTGTCCAGCCGCGAAGCAACAACAAGTCCCGAGGCAATGGGAAGGCGAAATCAGCATCGCAGGCGGGAAACAGACAGCCAGCACCATGGGTCAAGTTCAACTTGACCGAGGCTGAGTACAAGTACCGCGGCCATTACGGCTGCTGTTACTGGTGCAACAGCACCAAGCACAAGACCTCCCTTTGCCAGGATCAGGCCAAGGAGGATGTGCGGCCTCATCTTAACTCGGGAAACTGAGTTCCGCGGGAGGTGAGGCGACTCCACCTCCCACTCCGCCAGATTCGGCTGCCTGGCTAGCGGCCTCCTACACATCTGGGGAGGTTGCGAATGTCATAAGTTCTCGGTATACTTACGAGGACTATGCTGTCCACTTGGTCCCACCGTTGGACCAACCGCTCCACGTGCAACAATCCATCGCATGCACGGTTTCACCACCATCGGCAACCGATTCGGCAGCTTCGCCGCTATCTATCRCTGGGGATTCATCGTCATGGTCAAGACTTGAGGTGCTCGACCCACTGACGTTCACGAACTTCCAGTGGATGCCCGTTCCCCTGACCGGTCGATTGCCGAAACCGCACTGCAATGAGCTGATGGCACAACTGTGGGATTACTTGCACAGTGCAGTACCAGCTCCGTTGATGGACGTCGGAGTAGAGGTTGTCGACCTTCACGCTTACATTGCGAAGATCGACTGCGAGTTCAAGACGCAAGAGTACGACGACATCGACGCACCATTGCTTTATGTACGCATTCAGATCAGACAGGCGACCTGCAGCGCATTGATCGATTGCGGAGCATCTCGCAACTACATCAGCCAGGACTTCATGGTGCGCGCCGGCCTTGGCCCACGCGTCTGGAGGAAGTCCCAATCTACGCAAGTCACGTTGGCGGACGGTCACACGCACAAGTCAATCGACCGGTGCATTGATGACGTCCCAGTTTACTTTGCCCTTCACGCAAGTGAGGCGGTGTCCTTTGACATTTTGGACACCAAATTCGACATGATCTTGGGCATGCCATGGCTGCGAAGCGAGGACCACCCGGTGAACTTCTACCTCCGCACCGTTCACGTTCGTGATCGGAACGGAGTACTAGACCCATGCACGGTGCCTCCTCCTTACCCTTCCATCAGCTGCCACGTGGTATCCGCCGCAAGCATGCGAGCTTCCATCATCAGAGACGACATCGAGGAGATGGGGGCGTGTTTTCTCCACGCCCTCCCGCCCCATGACGCTTCACCGACGGACTCATCTTCGGATCCACGCATCACCGAGCTTCTCGACGCCTACGKCGACGTGTTCGAAGGCCCGCACGGAGTAGTACCGGATCGGCCCATCCGCCACGAGATCATCCTCGAGGACGGGGCCGTACCTCCGCGCAATTGCATCTACCGAATGAGCGAGGAAAGTTGAGTGTGCTACGGGCACAACTCGACGACCTTCTAGAGAAAGGTTGGATACGGCCTAGCTCATCGCCATACGGTGCTCCTCTTCTCTTCGTCCGGAAGAAGAACAAGGATTTGCGGTTGTGCATCGAATATCGCAAGCTCAACGCGCAGACGATCAGAAACGCCGGCCCTCTCCCACGCATCGACGACCTTCTCGATCGACTGGGCGGCGCCAAGTTCTTCTCCAAGCTGGACCTCAAGCCGGGATATCACCAACTCGAGATTCGGAAGGAGGACCGCTACAAGACCGCGTTTAAGACACGGTATGGGCATTTCGAATGGTTGGTCATGCCATTTGGCCTTACGAATGCCCCGACCACTTTCCAAGCGGCTATGACAACGGAGTTCCGACACATGCTGGATCGATTTGTACTTATCTACCTCGACGACATCCTGGTGTACAGCCGGAGTTTGGACGAGCATGTGGAACACCTGCGCACCGTTTTGGAGCGGCTACGACAAGCCAAGTACAAAGCCAACCGCGACAAATGCGAATTCGCGTGGCAGGAGCTGGAGTACTTGGGACATTATGTGACGCCGCAAGGCATCCGTCCGCTTGCGGACAAGATCGAGGCCCTCCGCGTATGGCCCGAGCCCACCAACACCACGGACGTTCGTTCATTCATGGGGTTGGCGGGCTACTATCAACGATTCATCACCGGATACTCAAGGATTGCTGCACCTATGACGATATTACAATCGCCAAAGGTGTCATTCGTATTCGATGACGACGCACGCCGGTCATTCCGAGCACTTAAGACGACCATGCTCATGGCACCCGTCCTTAGCATCTCTGACCCCACCCTGCCGACGAGAATGACAACTGATGCTTCCGGCTATGGCATTGGGGCAGTCTTGGAACAACACGACGGCGATGACTGGCACCCTGTGGAGTATTTCAGCCACAAAGTGCCTCCCATCAACTCGCTTGATGATGCAAGGAAGAAGGAGCTGCTCGCGTTCGTGATGGCTCTCAAGCGATGGCGGCACTTCCTCCTTGGGCGTCGTAGGTTCACATGGGTAACGGACGACAATCCATTGACCTCCTACAAGACGCAGGATACGGTGAGCAGCATGATCGGACGATGGACGTACTTCATCGACCAATTTGACTTCACACCGAAACATCTTCCCGGCCTCTCTAATCGCACAGCAGATGCACTCTCGCGAAGACCTGATCTTTGCGCTATGACACATCATGCCTTCGCATTTGACGAGGAGCTCCAACGACACTTCATCAGGGGCTATGAGTCCGATCCAGACTTCGCCACGCTATATGCGCAGCTATCTTCGGATCACCCGCCGGCCAGCCACTATCGCATCGTCGATGGGTACTTGCTCCTGCACTCGCGGGGCAAGGACTTACTATGTGTCCCACGCGACCGCCGTCTTCGGACTCGCCTCCTCGACGAGTATCATGATTCGCGACTCGCCGGACATTTCGGAGTCAACCGCACTATTGCACGGCTTCTACAGCGATTCCGATGGCCCGACCTCATCACCGACGTCACGAGGTATTGCGACTCTTGCAAAGTTTGCCGACGAAGCAAACCCCGCAACCGCAACCCCTACGGCGAGCTGCGCCCGATGCCGATCCCGCAGGAACCCGGTCTCTCCATTGCCATGGATGTCACCGGACCATTCCCCCGCGACCGCCTCGGACACGACGACATCCTCACGGTCGTGGACCGATTGAGTAAGTACGTGCGTTTTCTCCCTTGTAAATACTACTCCACGGCTCCCGAACTGGCACGCCTCCTGCACACCGGCTGGATTTGCGGCCATGGTGTACCGGAAGACATAGTCAGCGACCGCGACACTCGCTTCATGTCGGCATTTTGGATTGCGCTCATGCAGGAGTCCGGCACGAAGATGAAGCCAAGTTCGGCTCGGCATCCACAGACAGACGGGCAGACGGAGCGGGCACATCAGACTGCTCAAATGATGCTTCGTACGCTCATCCGTCCGG